TACTTGAAAAATTGGTGTTAAGAATGACCCACATAAAACAGTGATGGAAAATTCTTAGAATGAAACAATTTAAGGGTCATGCTAATTCTACTTCACCCACTGAGACAGGGAAGAAGTCTGTTTTCTATTTTATTTTTTGTTAGTAATCCACTTACATGGATTTATAATTCCCAGTTTATCGACACAGTAGACAGTGTAAGACCTCTCTCCTACCCCTTTTCTATAGCCAGCCTTTCCCATCTCGAGAGGAAAATCATAGTATAAACTTTTTGTGTATCCTGGCAGAGATATATTAATATGTTTTGGAGTGTTTGAAATGATTACAAATGTTTTCTTCAGTTTTCCATGATGCTCCCTTTGGTGTGTATTCTGGTTAGCTGAAGCATTATGATGCATTTCTTTGCTATTGTTTCCTTTTTAATTTCAGAAATCACTTTCAAATACCCAAATTTTTAAAATTAAAAATGCTATCCACAATTCCATCACTGATAAATCTATTCTTCTATTTTCCTTCTCATCTTTATCCACATATATGGGTATGTGTGAATATATGTGAATAGCTTTTATGTAGTTGTAATTATGTCCAGCATGGTAATTAATAAATAAAGCATTATATCTTATCTATAAACATAACTCTTGGCTGGAATAAAAAGACACTAAGAACATTTCCTGAACAAACCATGTAGGAATTAGTGTATGGCTTAATGCGAACTCAAAAATGGGATACCCTGGGACTAAGCATGTAATGGGAAGCCCTCTGCCTTCTCTCTTTTTGTCTTCTACCCTATGACAAATAGAGTGTAGAAGCATTCTAGTCCCTGAAACATAAAACAGTTCTGCAGAACTTGCTGTGTCAAAGAATATATTACAAAGCTTAATTAAGAGGATCCCACTCACAGTAGAATCCAGGAAGCCAACTCACTCTCAGAGCCCCTGTGGCATCTAACGTGGCAAGTGGAGCCTGTCATTATGACAGTCCCACCCCACTCATTTTCTGAAAGAACCATGCAAATCATAGTATTATAGAAGGGAGAGTCTTTACAGAGAAAGAGAGCTAATGTCTATCAATGCCTGCTATGGGTCCAGTACAATCCTAGATACTTTACAAATAAGCACAGAGTTTAGAGTTAGTGTAACCTGGATTTATGACTTGAATTTGCCACTAGCAAATTCACACGTAGCTGTGTGAACTTGAACCAATTACTCAACCTCTCTGAGCTTGGGGTTTTTTTTAATCTACAAAATGAAGTTATATGCCTGGCTCATAGTGGTGTTGAGGTTAAAGTAAGTATCACATAGATTGTGAACAGTAAGGGATGACAAGAACTTTAAAGCACAACCCTTTTTTTATGATTTTTTTTTTTTTTGCTACCAATACTTTTATACCTTGTGGATATGCCAAAGTCAGTGCAAATGATTAGACTTCATTGTTTTTATTCAAAATCCATCTCCAAACTTACCTGGTATCAGTGAAAACATCCTTATTACGAGGCTCAAAACTGTATATGCAGGTAGACTGGTAGTTGGACTTCTCAGGTGTCTGCAGAGAGGTATCTACTTAAGGTGTATCCTTTCTTTCTGTATTTGAGAAAAAATTTAAATGTAGACATAGTGTCTTGTATAAAGAAAATCAAAGATTTTAAAAACAAGAGATAATTGTCTTCATAATATTCATAATATAAAGCCCAGATTTCTTTTAAGTAGAGACTCGATATTGCCCTAAACAGAAGTAAACTAATTTTACTTAATGAATAAAAGCTATTTAACAAAATAATCATCACAAAAGGAAAACTTTTAACTAAAATGATGTCCAGATATAGTGGGCACCTAGTGGATGATCTTGCCAGCCCTTCTTTTCCTAACAATTTTATTTTGGTATAATCGACCTAGTGACATTGCTGGATCCCAGCAGCTATTTTGTACAATATGACCTTGCCCATTGGATTGTTTCAGTAGCAATGGGAATGAGCATCTTTTGCCCACTAGGCCAGTCAGAAGACTTCTCTAGGAACTTAGAGTTGGGACCAAGAGACAGTTCATTGTGGAATATTACCCTTAAAGACTGTTGGCCATGATGTTTTCTAACATACAGGTAAAGAAGCAAATGAAGTTATCCTATGAAAGAGCAAGAGAGAAGCAAACAGAAAGGAACAGAGAAGAGAAAAGGCAAGTCCTGAGAGTACTTAAGTCTCTCATTCTGGTTTATTTCCAGGGCAGGCTGCAATCTCTGCCTTTGGGTTCAGTAAGTCTACTTTATATATCATTGTAATAAATGTCCTTTTTCCCCCCCTAGAGATAACTGTATTAGAGTCCCAGGAGAAAGCAGAATCACTCAGTCTAAGAATCCGGTGGGAAAAGCGTATATCCCCATTTGTTTGACTTTAAGCTTAGTCAAGTTACATTCTTTGGGCACTCAGATGTGAGTAGACTTGACTTTTGCCAAACAGAAGTTTTACATGTAATTGTGGGGTTTGGGTTGGGCTCTTCCTTGAGTTTCTGCCCTTTATCATGAAAACATTGTATCCTTTCAGCCAGGGATCTGGAATGAAAAGACACCCAGGATTTGAGCCACAGCTGACCCAGAGCCCTCATGTTACATGAGCAAAAAACCAGTCTATCATTTTAAGCTGCTGAAATTTTGCCTTTGTTTGTTAACACATTAAAAGCTGACAAATATCGTGATAGATGCACAACAGCTGGAAGCCATCACCATCATTAGGCTAAAGAAATAAGGAAAGAAATAGTACGCTGATTGCCAGCCGGAGCTCGAGTAGTAAAGAAAGGGCTGTGTGTAGCCTGGTGGGTGTGGTGGTGAAAAGAATGCAGCCACCAACTCAAAGAAGAACAGAGGGAAGAAATGAACATCCAGATCTTGCTCTCTTCTTGCCCTCCTTCATATCTGACAGCGCCTCCTATTGCCGAACCCAACCAGAAGTCGATCAACAAGATAGTCCAAGAGAATGAGTCCCCAGGGCTCAGCATCCCAGAGCATAGAGAAACACAATGGCAGCCACTAACCACTAGCCAAAATGACTTTGGGTTGATAGACAGTGGGAATGGCAAGTGCAGAATAAACCAGGAAATAGCTCAAATAGATTTATACTATATGCAACCAAGAGTCCTCTTAATGTGAAAGATAAATTTGACTTACATAAAGAATACGTGAGAGAAACATAATGATTTCAGATAAATCTCTCCATAGAAAAGAACATAGAGACCACATGTTACTCCTGGGCTATCAGCTACCTTACTGGGGGAAAACAACTTGATGTGAACAGGAATCACATTGTATTAAGCAGATTCCATGATCCCTAGCATTGTTCCACATACTTTATATGTTGCATAAGTACTTGATCAGGACAATGATGGTGATGATAGATTCGCTTCCCTTCCAGCATCAGTTTAGGTAGTGTATTTCTATTTTCCCTGATTATTCAACATAGGAAAAAACTTTGTACTGTAGTACTCAAAGATTTTAGGTAAAGAAAAACAGAGAGCATTATTTTGCAAAAGACAATCCTGAGATGTGGGATTCTACTAGTGATTTATTCTGCTACGTCATGGGAAAATAAATGTCCTTTCCAACTGACCGAGACTCTTTTCATTTGTCAACTATTGATCCCCTCCCACAACCTCTCTTCTTAGCTCCATGATTCTTCTAGAGGTTAAACCAATGAAGCCCAGTCCCATTTATTTCTTCCTACTTTATGCTGTGGTATCACCATCGATAACATCAGACCAGCCAGCCACTCATCTTCGGTTAGCAACACAGTGGCAAATCCTAGCCAGAGAGAAGTTTTTAGAGGTTTTCTAGGCATTTCCTTTCAGGACCCAATAATATAAATTAAACCTTGAAAATAACTATAGAATGCATATTTTAAAAAAGTATTTCCTTTACATTTTATGTCTATCCACAACTACATTGCCCCTTTGTTTGCCATTCTAAGAAAAGCAAGAAGGAAAATCTAATAAGCATGAGCATATTGTATGTTAAATAGGAGGTTGGTAAGTTACAAGAGGAAGAAGGAAAAGAATGAGCCAAACTGAAGGTCAAAGAAAAATCTCCGTGACTCACAAATGCCATAATCCTGATAATTTACTTCTAGGGTCCATGGACACTGTTTCCTTTAGTTTTAGTTTATTGAATCCTGCTGAAGAACTTATTGCTCCCTAAAGGTTTGTACTTACTGTTTCTAATTCATGAATCATTGCTTCCTATTTCTGAACTATTATGCAGAGAGGCTCATCTCCCCTTTATATCCTCCCATAAGTTTGGCATGGTTCTGAATACCCAGGTGTTCAGACTCCTCCACAAAGACTTAGAATACCCAAACACTAGCATATACAGTAGAAGCAAGAGGCCAAAAGAAAATGCGCCTGTCTAAATAATTGCTTTTGATTCCCTTAGATGGAAGAGTGATTTTGTCATTTGAGAGATATCATCATTTGAATTGTACTGACTTTCTTGTTAAACTGGAAGCTACTCAATTAAAAAAAAATTTCTTCTCAATTTCTTTTCTGGTCTATGAACTATTAATAGCAGTCATCTGCTCTTAGTGATGCCTGACCAATGTTGTTAATATACTAGTAGATCAGTCTATCTCTCAATTTACTGATGCTCCAACTTGTCCAAGAAATTATTTAAGGTGGCTTACAGGAATGGATTTTTTAACAATATAAACTACTATAAATCAAGAATAGCAAATGAGTTTTATGCTACATGAAACTTTATTGTTTGGTAAAAGAGGCCCAGATAGGTCTAATGGCTAATAAACTGAGTGGTACATTCAGTTAGCAGTGTCTGCCCTGAGTGTGGGAGGGGAAAATATGGATATGCCATCCTAGTTTTTTAATGCAGAAAATGAAGCCAAGCTTCAAATGAAAATATAAGTAAATGATTATGTGCTAAAGGTCTTCCCAAATATGACACCAAGGCAGAAACCATAAAGAAAGATGGTAAAATTGATAATTGAATTTTTTAATATTGGAACAGACCACCCAGCTTTGTGCAGTGGCAGTATCGTAGCCAATGAGGTTTATCCGAGGCGCAATTATTGCTAATTGAAACAGACCACCCAAAAAAGATAAAAATATTTGCCAATACTTTTTTTTAATGTGAGTATAGTTGACACACAATGGTACATTAGTTTCAGGTGTACACACCTAATGATTTGACAAGTTTATACATCATGCTATGTTCACCGCAAGCATAGTCATCATCTGTCCCATTATAGCTCTATTACAGTATCATTGATTAACAAAACTTATTAAACAGGCATTCATACCCTTTAAGTCTAAAGACCTCTTCTAGATCAATAACCAAATTATGGTCTTCACAATTAAATATGGACAGAGAATATTATCAGCTGCACCTAATAGAAAACCCAACTTATTATGGCTTAAGGAAATGGAGGTTTTATTTTTCTCATGTAATATAAATCTGGAGGTAAGTGATCTGGGCTATTATGGAAGCATCATGATGTAATCTTGCCAACAGGGACCAGGGAGGAAGGGATGGATGAAAGAAGGAGAAAAAAACTTAAGAGGGATGGCAGGAGGAAGGTTAGAAAGAAAAATGACAGTAAGTATGTGAAAACAGTTTTCTTTCTCATCATTAATCGAATTAATACAAACTAAGGTATTTTTTTTCACATAACAAATTGGAAATTTAAAAACAGATTTTGATATTCAAGTTAAAAGGTATACAGGAAAGAAAAGTACGCATAGTCTGCCTTTCCTGAAGGCAATTTGGCAATATCTTCAAAGCCTTTACGGTTTTGCTTATTCTTTGACCCTGCTAGTGGACTGCTTAGGAGCAAGTCATAGATAAGAGCAAAAACTGAGCAACAAGGATATTCACTGGAGCACCATTACTAATATGAAATACTAAAACAATGGAGATTTTCAGATAGGACACTGGTTAAGAAAAATGAGGCACATCTATGCAATAGGATTTTGTGTAATCATCTAAAATGATGGTATGAAAGAAGATCCTGTTGGGACAAGTTCATCAAAGGCAGGTGAACAGTAGCTTACAAAGGTTATTTTTAATTCTTTTCAACACATAAAATGGTGAGCTTTGGGATCCTCAATATTTTATTCCACAAGCATGGTTGCAATAGTTTGAACCTCAAAATCATTGATTCTAAAGCAGAGGAAATCAGACAGCTGAACTTCACCAAACAAACTTTCAATAAAGAACCGATTGTCCACTTTTTGGCAATGCTATTTTTTGATGTAGTCTACAAAACGAACTGTTTTCAAAATGTATGCCAAGGGAAAAAAAGTTATTTGCAAAAAAGCATCTTTTTTTCCCCTCTCTGCCTATCTTTAGCCCTCACCCAGTAGTCATGGTGCTTGCTTTCCACACTACACATCTGCAGACTCGTCAACATGACCACCTTTATGAAACTCAAAAACCTCTCTCTTATTTGCCCTCTCTTGTCTTTTCTGCTTGTCCTTCACATGTTCCCCACTGACCCACTTCAGTGAGCAACACGGCACCCCCCCAGTGGAGGCTGGAGCCACTTACACTAAGCCACGACCCCCCTGCACCCTGCGGGTTTATCTCCACTAGGGCAGGGCCACCTAAAATCTGCGCAGCCGGCCCCTCCCCCAGAAGACCAGCACAAACCCCTGGCACACACCAAGTCTACTGATCATAGAGTGCTGCAAAACTTCAGCTCTAGGGGAAATAGGGTCTAGCTTCTTTTAACAAGCAGACCAAACACGCCTAGTTAAAACTTGCCATAGGGTGCTGAACAAGGTCCAAACACCCCCCACTGCAGGCAAGGAGAAACTCTGCAGAGGACCAAACTGAGAGAAGGAGCAGCCAAAACACATGTTCCCCATGTTTCATACTCTCAGGCCTCCTCATCCATTCCCATGCCTCTCCTCAAATGCAGTACAATGTATTTGTGCTTCTTTTTTAAAAGTTACCCTGTAGCAGTCATCTTCAATGCTCTTCTTGAGTTAATGTCACCCAAGATCACACCAATTTTCTTAGTAATCATGTAGGTTTACTATCAACACAAACCCCAACACAAATCATGTAGGTTTACTATCAACACAAACACTCAATACTTTCATATATCTGTCATCCTAAACATGCAGAGTTCCATTTGCTTTGGCCCCAAGGTTCCATATGTTTTGGCCCCAAGGTTCCAGTTTAATGCTATCATATTTCAACATATCACAATAAAGCATTTTTACTCATGGAGGACATTTACCAAAAATGATAACTTTAGTTAAGAAATAAACTGTAGCCTTCTTTCTGGTAAAAATCAAGAAACAGTTGTTTCTTCAGGTCTTTTCTAACTCAATTTAATAAAATTCTATCAGCTGCAAATGAAAGAATAGTCACCTTGGGACGCCTAGGTGGCTCGGTTGGTTGATCGTCCCACTCTTGATTTGGGCTTAGGTCATGATTTCAGTGTTGTGAAATTGAGCTCTGTTTCGGGATCCATGCTGGGTGTGGACACAGCCTGAGATTCTCTCTCCCCCTTTCCCTCTGTCCCTCCCCCTGTTCTCTCTCTCTCTCTCAAATAAAGAAATCTAAAAAAAAAAAAAAAAAAAAGAATGGTCACCTTTCTCTTCACTGCAGTGAGAGGTGAGGAGAAAAAAGACAAAATGCAATTAACTCACTCACAAATAATATGTGTGTAATAAACAAGTGAAGGATAAAACATTTCAAAAACACATCCTGGTGTTTCCCCCACTGAAAATTTTTAACTCTTTCATCCCCAAACTTCCCAACTGATTCATACATAGATCCTGTCTGAGTATCAACATAGAAGATCCCACACTGAATATTAGCACCTTAGTCCAAGGACAGGTCTATGAAACTACAGATCATCAAATATTATTTTTACTTGATTTTCTATGAGGTGGTAATGAATAACACAGTCTATAGCACAATAGCTGTGTCTAGAGACCATGTGCTTGTTAATAGATGTTGTCTTGAGATGCAACCTTAGTTACATGATATCTGGCCAGGGTACAATGTAGATGCAATGGTAAAGAAGGGATAAATAATTTGTATAAGCAAAGCACTGTCCTTGTGACTAGACTGTCAACTTGTTCGGACCACGGATCTTTTTTTCGTTGTTCTTGTTCATTGTTCTTCCCTATCACTTAGAAAAGCTCCTGACCCCTGGTAGGCTCACTTACTTGTGTTATATTCAATTGAGAATAAGAGGGACTACCTTTTGGGTCCATCCGTTTAGGACGATAATCTTAGAATTATTAAAAGTCTACCTTTCAAAATGGTTCTTTAAAAGCCTAGGTGATGTATCTATTAGTCAGTATTCCAGCAGGAAACAGAAGATACCCTGAGGAGGTATTTTGAAGAAAATTTAATAAAAGGACTATTTTTGGAGGTGTTGCAAGGGGAGAGGAGCTACCAAGGGATATTGAGGTACCCAGAGAAGGCATCGGTGGGAAATGCCTACTATTCTTCGGCCCAAAGGGGAAGGAAAGGGAACAGTGTTACACAAACCCAGTGAGTTGGAACTACTACAGAAGAAGAGATGTTTTAAATAAGAGCTGGAACCACAAAGGGATGAAGACACGCCAGAGTCTTAGCCTGGAGCAGAAGGAAACAGAGAAAGAAATATCCCAACATCTCTCTTCACTTTATGCACTTTATCTATTATAAATAGCTATTAAAAATAATAATGAGATAAACATCTTTGTGCATATTTTTATACCTCTCTGATTATTTTCCTAGGATATATTCATAATGGTAGAATTGGTTGGGTCACAGGCCAAGACTGTTGAAATATGACTTGCCCTCCAGGAAGAGTGTACCAATTTATACTGTACAACATATCCTTAGTGTATGACTGTGCTGTTTCTTGACATTCTTGCTAATTAACACCCTCGCCTCCAGGTGTCAAGTTCTCTGTCACCTTTATTTTCTATTTCTATTTCTATTTTTCTATTTATTTCTATTATATGCTCTTCATATTCCATTATATGGTATGTATTCTATTTATTTCTATTTTATATTGACTAACTCTGCTGTCCTCCCAATGCTCATGACCTCGTCTTGAGAGCAATTTCTCACCCGTCTCTGCCAGCTCCTATTTGTTCTACATTTCTATCATACTCCTGGCACCTCACCAGGTATAATGCATTGCAATCATTTGTTCATTTGTTTGTCTCTTAAACTAGGCAGTGAATTATTATTGAGGAAAAGGATGATTTATTAATAGTGGTAGTATAAATATTCAACTCTGTAACATCATTACTCAGCACTGTCTGAAATGTAGGACATACGCAGAGCTGTGCTTTAAGTGAAAAAAATATGGAAGTTGACCACCATCATAGTATGATCCAAGGATGATCCATCAATCCCCACACCTCTGTTGTTCCATTCAGCCTGGTTCTAGTGTGTGAGTCACATATGGTTGACAGAGCTCTGGAGAGGAATGTTTCTCTTGAGAGTTCCACAGAACCCAGCCAGTTATAAGAAGCTACCCAGTCCATTCTTTAGGAGCTGTTGTTAGCCTGTCCTTTGAGTATTAAAAGTAGAAGAGATTATCAGATCAAGGAGATGGGGACCTAACTGGGGATTGGCAGAGCTCTAGACCAGATGTGTCTCCAACCTCTTTCTTCCAGGACCTGTTCACATTCATCAATATACTTGGCACATATTTTCTTATTCAGAAAAGACAGGAGAATTTGAATGTTAGTAAAAGTGGGAATGGATGGGGAAACCTGAGGGGGAAGTTAGAAAACCAGGAGCAGAAGGACATCATTCCCCATTCAGCCAATAAGCTACACTTGAGTCTCTACGACAAAAATGTAAAGGCAAGAACAGACAGAACTGTCTTTGTTAGTGTTTGTTATTTAATGAGAACATTGAAAAGTCATCAGGGCATTGGTGAGAGCCAGAAGCTAATGGAACCCTGCACCTCTGAGCTTAAGCTGAGTGGCCTTGGGGCTGAGTGGTGAACCAAGGCAGAGAAGTGCAGGTGAGTACCGTGCCCCATGGTTGCAGAGGGCTCACTGAGCAACACTGGCTCCTGACAGGCAAGCTCTTGTGCACCCTGTGGCAGTTGTAACAGTGAGGCCTTGGCAGGTGGATCTGCAGGCAGTGAAAGTGGGTAATAGAGGAGGAACCACAGAGGGTAA